GTGTAAAACCAAGAGGATTTAAAGTAATAAAGTTTTACATAGTAGAAATATAAAGATTTGACGTTAATTTATTTTTATTGAATATAAAAGTTTAAAGTATTTGCCAAAATAAATTAATAATAATAACAACTGGTACTTGAACCTAAAATTGAAACCCATTGCAACTCTTCAAAAAGCATATGAAGACAACTACAAACACGGCACAAGAGTGAGATAGTGATACCCAATATCCCCATGTTGCTAGTGGGAGCCATAGAGGCAAGACAACCAGCTATGCACCTTTTTTTCATATTGGTATCATAAATACACGTTTTCCACTCCAAATAAAAGAAACTTATAATGGAACGAACTTTTTTTTTATGAAATTAATATCAATTATTAGATACGCGTCTTTTTTTATTATTTTAATTTATAAAGTAACTATCATTGAGGTTTGATAAATTCAATATTTTAATAAACTTTAAATTCATTTAAAAAAATGTTATTATGAGTATCTTAAAATTTATAAATGTAAACAGAATATCAGCGTACAACATCTGACCGCCATATAAGCGGATTGAGATAATAAAAAAATTGTTAAAAAGGGTTTTTTTTTTTTTTTTTTTGATAACAAAAAAGGGTTTTTTAGTTATCAATAAATAATGAGAAAATTATATCACTTTTATATTATACATTATTTAATTATTGAACGGAGCTAATTTAAAAACTTACGCACAACATTTTAGAGCACTGCATAGATATTAACAACATTTTTTAGCTTTGGATTACCTTCCATCTATCAATAAAACAAATTTGAGAAAATGCCAAAAAAAAAAGCTATGGTATGTAAATTAGTTTAAATTATAGAGTACGATTTTTCTTACAATTCTTGAACTTAAATCTCCCAAATGAAAAAAAAAGTAGGCACTAATCGACGTTTAAGTAACTTCTAAATACCAAAAGTCTAAGAAAAAATACACTGAAAATAACTTTCTCTGTTCAATTGATAATTTGTTATTTTTCTTGTTGGTAGGTTTTTGCTTCATTATCGGCAAATCATATAATCAGAAATTTTAAGAAATAATTTTATTTTCTAAATATATATAAAAGTGTATGTACCTCATATGAAGCCATGTGAATAGAAAAGAGAAAAAAAAATTATGAATTCTACATATTTTTATAGAGGAAGGTTATACTTACAACTTTTTTTTTTACAACCTCTTACAACCATATATCGTAACCGTTGATTTCCGTCAATCAACGGTTGTCATTTATTATGATTAATAATTAATTAATAAGTTTAATTTGTGAAAATCATAACCGTTGATTGACGGAAATCAACAGTTATGATATATGGTTGTAAGAGGTTGTAAAAAAAAAAGGTTGTAACTATAACCTCTCCCATTTTTATATATGTATAGAAAATAAAATTATCTCATATAACATGAAAAATATTAATCTTTTTATTATAATACATACTTCAGAGGTAGGATATTCTTACTACAAAAATTTACTACTACTAATTTACTATCTATCTAATCACCATTGAATCAAAGAGAGAGAATGCTAAATTTTTTTTAAAAAAAGATAAATTATTGATTCAATGGTGATTAGATAAGTAATAAGTTGGCAATAGAACATTTTGATAATAAAAATATCCTCCTCTATACTTTAGCCCCAAAAGTTACAGTAAATTTAATAAAATGAAAGAGGCGGAGAATACGGATGGCTCGTGTTACTTATGACAAAATGTGCTGGACCCACTGATTTTTTTAAATTATTCTAATCAGTTCATCGGCTTCACAATTAATTTAAGGAAAATTTCAAAAATTCTCCTATAACTTTCTTCATAATCATTTATATTTTTATAAAATTTTGAATCATTTATCCCTGTTTTAAAGTTTCTTTGTGATAAAGAAACTTTAAATCAAGGTGGTAAATGATAAAAATAATCTAAATAAAGGTGCAAATCATTCAAAAAATTTGTGAGGATGGGTAAATGATAATTAATAAAACTCATAGAAGAATTTTTGAAAATTTCCCCTAATTTAATTCAGAGCGAATCCTATAATTAAATTTCTTTCAAAGATGACATTGAAGAGGCAGATACTCTCATCCTCACTTATTTAATTTTCTAACGCCAGTTGAATTATCATCCTGGACCATTGATTTAAAATTAAGTAATAGGAACCCTGACGTGGAAAAGTAAAATAATTCAAAATTGCTTGACTCAACGTGAGTTGACCGTATTAAGTTAGGTTGATTTGTAGACTTAAAATTATTAATAAATAATTTTAATTATTATATTTTAAATAAATATTTAGGTATTATTTTAAAATAAATATTATATATAAAATTAAATTTTAACTTTGTTTGTTAATCCGATTTATATTTCAAATCTGATTTATTAAATTATGAATCGTTAGATATACATAAATCAGTGGTCATAATTGAGTGTAATATTTTTTTTTTGGTAGACAAGTGTAATGTTTCTTATTCTTACACCGATATAAGAATAAATTATCCTTCTTAAGTAACGATTGATTTAAGATTTTAGTGTAAATTAACTTGACTTTTTATATATAACTAATTAAATAAATTATGTGAAATTGATAATTTTATATTGTAAGTATACAAATAATTAAAATAAATATAAATCAATGAATTATCCTAAATTACTAATATAGCGTGCGTACTTTGCCTTGTGAATCACAACATAAAGACCGGATTAGACCAATAAGTTGTTAGGTTAGACTTTACTTATTCATTATAAACTAGTTTTCATTAAGCCTAACTCGTAATAAAGTAACTCGAAAAGGTAGGTAGGACTTAAATTGATGTTTGTATATATATATAAATTATCAGATATTTATAGTTTATTGCATATGCGCTTGTTATTTTATAATATTCTACCCTTTTTTTATGTTTATCTTACATATCTTTTTTTAATATTATTAGATCAAAATTTTTATTATTTTTTTTCCTCTTAAGATATTGATATAACGGTGTTAGAGTATGATAGATAAGATAGGTATGAAAAAAAATATATAGAATAATCTATTCTAAAATAAAGAGATAAATTATCCTACCTACCGTTTTTTCATGTCTACCTTACCTACTACTCTTTAATACTGTCAGGTTAGAATCTCAATTAATATTTATCATTTCTCTTTACTTTCAAGAGTTTGATCTAACAGTGTTTGAGATTAGTACTAATAGGTAGGGACATATTATTCTACCTTTTTTTTCATGTCTACACTCTTTAATACTGTTAGATTAAAATTTCAACTAATATTTATCATTTCTATCGAGATTCTGATCTAATTGTATTGAAGAATAATAAATAAAATAGACATATTCATTTTGAACGAAGGATTATTTTATGGGTTTGATATTTGTCATTTTAAATACCATAAATTATGTCATTTTAGGAGAGAGATACACACAAAAAATAAAATCATGTGAGAGAGAAAGTGGGTGATTTTTTTTAGTTTAAATTTTAAATAAAAAAATTTATTTTGTGTCTATCTCTTTCTTAAAATAACATAATTTTATGTCATTTAAAAAAACAAACACTTTTTCTTTATTTTATGCCGTAAAATTAAAGGAATATTTATTTTTGTAGCATTGCTTATCACGTGCTCGTTTCCTAAAGAGTCACGACACGAGTCTCAAGGAAACGTGATTCACCCGCTTACGTGGACCCCACACACGCGTTTGTAATTGTCGGCACGCATCAGTGCATTACCACTCCCCTCATGTTGTTACCTAATATAGTAATACAAAGCACCGTGACAGGCTGTAAACTAGTTTGAGTATAATTTGTGTGTGTCTTTATCATCGTTAAATTTAAATGTTACTACATATGTCGCTCTTGAAATGTAATGCATATTTACACTATACTTTTATAAGCATGTGGATAACAATACTTTAATTCAGAAAAAGAAATCATGGGTGTTCCCACCTATTCAGATGAAATTAATCATCTTTGTGACATATAATATGAAGATTTTTAATATTTTTTTTTGATACATTGAAGATTTTTAATATTAATCCGGAATTGTTTTGCCTAAAAATAGAAAACAAAAATTCAGCTTTAACAATACGTTTTTTGAGCAAAACCCACTTATCAATTATGTCACCTTTCAAAATTGATTCAGGAAAATTTGTTGTAATAATATAATAAGGATTTATTTTTTCTGCAACCAATGTAAATAAATTATTTATATTGAGCTTAAAACGATATTATTTTGGAGCAGAAAATAAGGTATTTTTGTAATTATGATTTATTTAGGATTATAATAATATTTTTATTATAATTTTTTAATTTTTCAATCTAAAATAACATCATTTTGAAAGTGAATGTAAATAACTTATTTACATTCACTGTAGAAACATTAAAGTCTTATAATAAATATAAGATAACAAGAAAAACTAAATTATAAGTTATAATCATCTCAATATCTCATGCGAGTTTATATCATATGAAATATAACCAAAATAACTTTAAATCACTTTATTTTATTTTTAAAATTTCTTAAATTAAAATTTATTAGTATTATTATATTAATAAAGAACCTATTATAACAACGGGATTTATAAAATTAATTTTACAAGAAAATGATTATATCAGGTCATAAAAACACAAAAAATGAAGTGCACCAGTTTTTCTATAAAAAAAAAACACACACACACACTTTTTCGTACATGACCAAACCATAACCCTATAACAATAGCTAAGTTAAAAACCAATTGATACGAAATTAAAATTTAAAATATAAACAAATGTGGACTAACTATATACAATTTTAATCCGTCTTTTACGTTGCACTTTCCGCGAGCCAATTGGAAGTTGTGAGACATTGAAGCATTGAACAACTCCGCTGCCAGTGTTTTTCCACATAAGAGAAACGTGCTTTAAACAAAAAAATATATTAAAATATTAGTATTCATTATATTTTATCGGAAGTTTTTATTAAAAAATAATAATTAGGAAGATAAAGACCACATGCTGTGTCGTTCCTCTTTCCTCAGACCAAAGCAGATTCAAGGAACATGCTTAGAGAACAGTCAAGGTTCTCCATATTCTCTCTCATTTCACCCTCTTAAACTACCAACTATTCATCTGAACAGGGTTTACCTAGCATCAAAGATATCATCTTTATAAACAATCAACTGATTTCACAGACTTTTCTGTTAGAAATTCTTTGTGGGGTTCTGTTAAAAATGTCAACTTTCCCTGATACGGTGTCCGATGGCCGGAGGTCCGGCAAGGCTCCGGAGAAGTCCAATTTCTCACAAACTTGCAGCCTCTTGAGCCAGTTCTTGAAGGAGAAGAGAAGTTCTGGAGCTTCTACCCATGGAATTGGTGGGAAAATGGAGCATAGAGGTACAATCTTTGCTTTTCTTTGGTTTATTTCTTATTTGGCATTTTTTTTTCTTTATTTGTTTTTTCCTTGCCTAACAATTTTTCATTATGTGAAGTTTTTCTCCAATTTCTTTGGTTTGTGTGTGTTGCTGATTTGCTACTTGAAAATTGTTTGCATATTACTTGCTTGATTACATAGAAGTGGATACAAAAAGTTTCTAAAATTGCCTGTGAAGATTGCTGATGGGATCATTATTGTTTGTTTGGTTGTGAAAATTCCAGCTAGTAGGAAGGATTTGTTAGCCAACCAGCAAAACTCAGATGGGGCTTTGAAACTAAATGCTTCAGCTATGGATTTTCTTCCCCAGCTTGTGGAAAATCCCTGCATTAAGAAGTCCAATGTTAGGTGTGTAACAATTTTAATTTCTGCAATTGTTCTGAATTCTAAAGCCAAAAAGGAAAACAAAAAGTGGGTTTATTTTCTGTGGAATAAAAAGTTTCATGAAATTACTGAGATACCCATGCTTACACCAAAAAATTCACATGAAAATGGAGACATAAGCTGGTGAATGGTGATACCTTTTTATGTTGAAGGGTATACAAGAAAAACCAGCATTTGTAACTAGATCTGTTTGGTTTATTGGCATGACCATTGCTGTCATTATTACTTCACCCCTAATTTGATTACGAACCTGTATTTAACATAATGTTCCTATTCTTAAAACAAGTCTCTTTTTTTCTCCTATAATTGTAGGTCACCGGGGCAAGAAGAATCTCCCCAATTGACAATATTCTATGCCGGAAAAATGCTTGTATTTGATGCCTTTCTACCTGAGAAGGCAACGGAGGTCATGGAATTAGCCACCAAGTTAGCCTCTGACAATTCCAGCACCGCAGAAAGTCCCCCAAATGTTACAATTTCTACTGAAAAATTGAATTCATCCAAAGTGCCTCAGACAAACACTACCTCAGAAACCCCTAAACCAGGAAACCAAGTTGGTTCAGGTATTTAATGTTTCAATCATCCCCATTTGTCATATGAACAATAAAAGAAAAAAATAGGAAACATTAGTACAAGTTAATGCACTAATTCAAGGTTACAACAACTTTTTGTTACAACAGATATGAGGTATCCAAGGAGAGCTTCACTCCTAAAATTCCTTGAGAAAAGAAAAGAAAGGTAAGGACTAATTAAGGAGCAGTTTTTTAGTTGCTATTTTTGTTTTAATTATTTGTTAATTTTTTGGTTGGTTAATGCTAATTAATTGAATCTTCAAATTGTTGTTGCAGGGTCATTGCTAGAGGACCTTACCAAATTAACAACAACAACCCCAAGCGTGAGGGAAGCAGTTCAGGAGGTGAACCTGAAGATCAGTGTTCCGAACACTTTGACCTTAACTTGTAGTGGTTTAGTTCGTCATGAATTTAGGATATACAGGCTCTTTGCAAGCCAAAAGCTCCTCCTCCTAACTATATCATTGTAGGCCTTTTGCAGATTATTGGGGCCTTCATGCATATTTATCATATATAGGTATATATATTTGTATTTATTATTTTATCTATTAGGGCCAACGCTGTGGACCAAACCATAGAAAATGTAGCCTTATTACTGAGATTGATTCGGTACAGAAAATTTCCAAGTATTTTGTGTGCATGATTTTGTCATTTTTAGTGAATGTAAGTTGTTTCATATTACTTGTTCTCTAGATTTTTTGCTTAATTTCATGCTTGGAGTTGGATGGTATAATACGGGTGAAAATCCTGTTTTCATCAATCTTTTCTAATTACTTCTATAGTAGCCACACAAGCAATATTGGGATTGGATTTTTTTTTTGACTTAATAAATTAATTAATTTTTTAAAATAATATAATTTTATATTCTATTATTTTTTGTTCTATCAATGTCTTCTTATTTTATTTAATAGATGGGAAAAGTGTGTATCATTTTAAAGGATGTAAAGTTGTGTCATTTTAAGTGAGAGAAAGAGATAGATAAAGGAGGAGAGAGAGTGGACAAAAAAATATAAAGGTGTGGGTTTCACTTCTTTGTGAGAGTGAAATAACATAAGTTGTGTCATTTAAAAGGATAAATATTTTTTCCTTCATAGATAACAAGAAAAATAATGATACAATTAAAAAAGTATTTTTTTTGTTTATTGGATAGCTTTTTCTTATGAGAATGAGTATCTTTAACAAGTAATAACTAATATTTAGTAATGTTTCTTATTTAATTAAGGAGAAGGATATTGTGACAATCAAGTTGTGTTACTACCAAGTGACTACCAATCAATCTTACCGTTAGATCGATTATATTAATCCAATGGTTATATTTATTTCCATCTTTGTATGGTCATGATTTTCCAAATTTAATATTTTATATTTATTTTCACTTTTATATGGTTATGATTTCTCATATTTAATGCTTTCACTTTAAATATGGGGAATCATGACCATTCAAAGATGGAAATAAATATAACCATTGGATCAACATAATCAATCTAACGGTGAGATTGATTGGTAGTAACACAACTTGGTTGTCACAATATCATTCCCCTTTAATTAAATGAAAAAGTGTTTGTCATTTTAAGAGAGAGACAGACACATAAATTTTTTTTATTTAAATTTTAAATTAAAAAAATCATCCATTTTCTCTCTCCCGTGATTTCTATTTTTCTGTGTCTATCTCTTTCCTAAAATGACATAACTTATGTCATTTAAAATGATAAATACTAAACCCTTAAATGAAAAAGTGTTTGTCATTTTAAATGATATAAATGACAAATACTAAACCTTTAATTAAATCATACTATGATGATTTGCTGTATTAAACTATAATTATTTATTTAAATATTAATTACTCATTATTAAGAAATATAGTTTTATAAAAGAAGGATTTGAGAAATCCGCTTTAAAAATATTATAATAGAAGGGATGAAAGTACATTTGTTCTTGGAAAAAACTTTTCATTAAGAAATGTATAATTTTAGTCATTTTTTATTTAATTTGCGAACAAAACATATGAATACAATATATTATCTGTATAAAAAAAAGGAATAAAGAAGAACGTTATCTCGAGTATATGAATAATTACATGACATAAATTAATCTCATGTTAAAGAAAATAAACTATCTCATGTCATAGAGATAAATATATGGATTCCACCGTCTGAAAAAAAAAAGAAAAAAAAAAGGTAACACAATTATCAAAGGGTGTGTAGGAGAAAAAGTTATCACATGTAACATAAGAGTAAATTTTTGCTAAATGATATGCCATAACAATGCAACGTGATACATGAGGATCAATGAGCATTCACCAATATATGAAAATGGAAGTTGTTACTTTGTGCGATTATAGAATGACAAAGACCACTAACCCAACCCTGACACTTTTCCTTTTTGCAGTCCTAACGGAGGGATAAGGTTCCTATCATATTATGCTAATTTGAAGCATACGTATGTATAATTTTTTATGTTTTTGTGCTAAAAAAGTGATTTTTCTGCAATACAATATTACTTTCTTTAAAGGTTTAAATGTATTTTTGTTTTTAGATGTATAATTATTTTTTAAGTTAATTTCATTGTTTATTATTCTAACACCAAAAAATTAACATGTAATTACTATAAAATAAAAATTAAATTAAAAACAATTATTGAATATAGTTACAGTCACGTTAATCTATATACTTTGTTGTTTTATAACCTCTCCATGAGGCGTTACAATAATAATAGACAGTAACTATGAAATGAAAAAAAAATGATGGTAAATATTAAAATTAAACTAATTTTTTCCCCGATAAGAATGATATTAAAATGAGTGTTACCCATAAATACAAAAATAATATATTTTAACCTTCCATGAAAAAACATCAATAGCTGTCCACGTTTGACCATAAGACACACACAACAAAAATCCTTTCATTGTTTTTCAAAAATTTAAACAATCCGCGATTATTGCGAGACTTAGTGGGATGAATGCAGTATATCTTTGGGTTACTTTATTTTGTATTTAAAATAAGAGAAAAGTTGTACGTACAACTTTTTTTTTTACAATTTCTTACAATCATGTCTTAACACCATTGATTTCCGTCAATCAACGGTTATCATTTATTGTGAATTAATAATTAATTAATGAGTTTAATTTCTGTCAATCAAGTTGTAAGTATAACATTCCTCTTAAAATAAAATAAAATTATCTCCATTAAATCTAAAATTAAGTTATTTTTGAAATTGAGATAATTAATAAAAAATATTTTAAATATTTTATTTTTTTATTATATGAATTTTATTAAAATACCTTTCATTAATTCTTTCAACTCTCAAAATAGTATAATTTTGTAATTATTAAAAATAATTTTATCTTCTGTGTTGGAAGAAACAATAAACCCAAAAATATATATTAAATAATAGGGAATATTGTGCCTGTATGAGGCATTCATAACAATTTTCATGTAAAACTGGTTTATCAGTTTTTTCCGCTTGGACCATTATGTCTTATTTGATTTATTTTTATTTTTTTTATCGTTGATAGGAGCAACACATAGCTTCAAAATTATACGCAGATCTAACATTAGTTGTATAACTGAGTAAGAGGTCGTTTGGTTCACCTTTTTTTAAAAGTAACTTTTACTACTTCCTTATTTTAAAAGTACTTTTTACAAAAGTTAAAGCTATTTATATTTTTATAAAAATATTTGGCTTTTGACTTCTGCTTTTCTGAGAAGTTAAAAATTTTAGCTTCTGAGAAAAGTAGGTTTTTGGCTTTTTTTGTGACTTCTTTTTTTAAAAGTAGACATCCAAACGAACTAAAAACGAAAAGTGCTTTTTTTCTTAAAAAAAAGCTCATCCAAACAGGCCCTAAGTACACGTATAGAACATGACATAAATATGACATGTTGATATGGTAAATTTTAAAAAATATAAGACACTATATAAATAAGACTATAAATTTGATATAATATAATAAAATTTAAAAAATCAAATACATAACACATGAGGATAATCAAGCCCAACTTGATCAGGTCCATCTGGTTCAAGGAAGCACTCGGCCCAATATTCAACCTCCTCAAGACACTGCTCATGCAACGTCTTTGGTTCATAAACGCAACACTAATCACGATAGATAGAAGCAGATGAGAGTTGTAACTGTTTCTCAGTTGTTAGGAAGTTTGTTAGGAAGTTTGTTAGGAGGTTACAAATTAGTTTCTTCTGTTAATTTCTTGGTGAAGTATCTCTTCAGCTAACCTATATGTATATATAGAGAACTCGTTGTGTATCTCCATTCATTATTCTGATTAATGCAAAATGCATACACAAGTTTTCTCTTTCGCTTTGTTTTCTGATATGGTATCAGAGCTCACATAGAGCTCTGGTACTCTGCCTTCAGTGTTTTCTTTCTTCGATTGCTCTTGATTTTTCTTTGATCGTTCAATAATGGCGAATCCAAATGCTGCCTTGAGCTATCACAATGATCCTTCACATCCTCTTTTTCTTCATCCAAACGAAAATCCTTCGTTGGTGCTAGTTACACCACCTTTGAGTGGAAATAACTATCATACATGGGCTCGAGGTATGACAGTTGCTTTGCTTTCAAAGAATAAGCTTGCTTTCATTGATGGAACGATAGTAGCACCACCAGTTGATGATCCATCGTACACACAGTGGCAGAGGTGCAACACAATGGTGATGGCTTGGATACACAGGTCAATTTCTGATTCGATAGCAAAATCAATTTTGTGGATAGAATGTGCTTATGAAGCATGGATTGATTTACGTGAGAGGTTTTCACAATCGGATATATTCCGAGTCTCTGACCTTCAAGAGGAGATTTATAAAATGAACCAAGGAAGTGAAACAGTGACTGAGTTTTTCACTAAACTCAAGACTATGTGGGACGAACTGGAGAATTTGAAGCCTCTTCCAGTTTGTGAATGGGTTCCACCCTGCACCTGTGGAGCAGGAATAAAGATGCGTCACTATCGTGAAAGGGATCATGTCATCAGGTTCCTCAAGGGACTTAACGAACAGTATGCTGGAGTTCGTTCGCAAGTGATGCTCATGGATCCATTGCCACATGTGAACAAAGTGTTCTCGATGATAGTTCAACAAGAGAGACAGTTTTCCTCTGAAACTCATACTGGAATTCTGACTAATCCATAGTCCTTTGCTGGTTTTAACAATAGTACAGGTAATGGAGGTCGTAGATCTTTTAATCAACAAGGAGGAAGGTTCAACAGAGGACGTGGAAGAAGCGATTTTGGTAATTTTGGACGAGGCACATCAAGTAACAGAATCTGCACACATTGTGGCAGATCTAATCACACGGTGGAGACATGTTACCAACTCCACGGCTATCCACCAGGATATCGCGTTCAAAGAACTGACAATCATCTTAGCAACAATGTGCAATCAGTCAATATCCATGCTGAGGAGCTGTCACAGCAAAATCAGTTCACTTCAGAACAATACCAAAACATTCTGTCACTTCTTCAAAACTCACACAATACCACACCAAGCAATAGTATAGCTTCCACACACGTTGCTAACCTCACACAAGTTTCTCACACTGATTCCAATCCAGCAGGTATTTTACACACACGGTGGATTGTTGACACAGGAGCTACAGATCACATCACTTACACTACTTCAAAA